CATCACGCAATACAACCTGCATGATTCCAAGTTTCTGTCCAATTGAAACCTTGGGTGATGAGAATCTTTCCTTATTTGATAAATTTAGACACTACCACAGATGAAAGAATCAAATTCATTATTGCTAGAAACATACAAACATTAACTTTCCATGAATGCCATTGCAAGGAGATATAAAATAAAGTAAAACAAAATTTTATTTATTTATAAAATGCGGAAAAACTTTTCCTTACAATGAAACTTTAAATGGAAACTATGCTATTACATATTTCCTAGCAATCTATCATAACTTCTAAGTAGTAGCTCAAGAATCCGATCTTCGAACCATGCCATTGAAATCCATCTTCGCTATTAGATTCAGCATACTCCTTTTATTAAGTGTCCTTCCCTTTGCTTGATCCTGCCAAACACCAAAATGTAACCGAGTCACATTTTGTATTAAGAATCACCAATAAGGAACTTAACAGAGTTAGATAGTGGACTTGCCTGAAGCAGAGTCAAAAATTTTGTTTCTACTTGCTTTCAGATCTTTCAGGTATTCAGGGCAGCTTCGCTTCCAATGTCCCTTCTCATGACAATAAAAACATATAGACTCTTTGGGAATGGTACACGAGATTATCACAGACTTAGCCTTTCCTTTTGCCTTTTGGTCAACCGGGTTGACCAAGGCCGATCCCTTTCCATTGGAAAGAAAAGGCTTTTCTGGACTTCCAATGTTACCATTGTCCATGTCCATGGAAGTTTGAGAAATAGACCTTCCACCCATATTTGCTTGACCATTGCGCCACATCATTTCTGACTCAACTGCAACAAGCAAATAAGATAGATCTATTAAGGTCATGTCGTGATCTATCACATAGTAGTTCTTAATGAACTCACTATATGAATCTGGAAGTGACTGAAGAACCCAGTCAATAGCCAACTTCCTTGGGACAACGACACCCAACATTCTCAACCTGTCAAAATGTGACTTCATTCCTAAGACATGAGTGCATACAGATCTTCCATCTTTATGTTTCATCGCTAGTAGGGCTTGAGTGACCTTGAATTTTTCAAGTCTTCAAGCTTGTGGGTCAGGGAGAATAAATGGAGGAGGTGGAGGTAGAGAAGTATGATTTCCATGAGATTTGGGAAGATCACAGTTGTCTAAACCAGACATCTACAATGGGAGATATTCAAGTTAGTTGATTTTAAGTCCTTAATATAACACCCAATATGAAATATTAAGGCTAGGACCCAACACAATATTTTATAACTTGGAAGAGGGATGCCGTAATCCAAGCTATAAAATACTTGAAGGTAGGTGAATGACGATTCACCAATTTCCACCATGAAAAACGAAATAAATTATTAAGTTTTAATTGGATTTGAAACTCCTAGATCTTTTGAGATTCATTGAACTTTCAATGGCATGTTTCAATCTCGATTGTGCCCTTCAAGTTTTGTGACTGGGATGCCGAGGATCACAAAACAAGGTGTGAATAACCATGCAAACTCACTTGGTACCCTTAATATTATCACCTAATCGATGTGCCGGTTAACCACACACGCTCCACCGATCTATGATAAACATTAAGTCACCCTTCGTGATCCTTACTAGTCCAAGTTAGTGTGCCGGTTAACCACACACGCTCCACCAACGACTTGGTAAGGTACAAAGTGTGAATTTCATGGGTTAGCACCATATTCACATTTTCCTAAAGTAACTAAGATTGGGAATTATAAAAATATTTAGTTACTTTATAATAATCCTTATACTTTTAATGAGAATTAAAGTCATTGTCCTACCCGTTCGGCTAACGACCCTCCACCGATCAAGGAAGCAGTGGGTGAGAGTGGACACCCATTAAGTTGCCATTTTATAGGCAACAACCTTATACCCCCCTTATAGACCGGTTTCGTGGATGAGGCCTACTAACGGTAAAACGACTTAATCTTATACATATATATAATAATTAACCATTAATGTTATAAATAGTATAAGGGTTGAATTTTAACTTTTAAAACTCTAGGGTATGGAATTAAAGTTTGTGTGCGACTTTACAAATTCCAAAACTTGAGGGCAAGTTTTGAACAATTCAAAAACTTTTGGATATTCATAACTTATGAGTTTTAATTAAGGCTTAAAGAAACTTTTAATGAAGAGACTCTTGGACATCCATAACTTGATGACAAGTTATGGAGTCCATAAAACCATTTATGTGAAAAACTCTTCAAAAGTGTAACTTATAACTTCTTTAAATAAACCTTAAAAGAAAAAACTTTTGGAATTCCATAACTTGAGGACAAGTTATGGAGTCCATTCAATGTCATAAAGATCAAGAATTATACTATCAAACAATTTGCACATATAATTCCTATGATCTACCAAAACTCATAAGTTCATGAACATTCATAATCAACAACTTTCAAGAATCATATAAACATATATAAACTTGAAACTTTGATTATAACTTTGAAATTGGTTCACCACAATCATTACCACATCAAAAACAGGTTTTACAAGTCCAAAACAGTTTAAGGTAATGATTCTAGACCAATTCCAGCACAAAATCTTGAAAATTTGCACTCAGGCCTGCCAACTCGTCGAGTGCATGAACTGACTCGGCGAGTTGGTTGAATATATGCATGAACTCGGCGAGTTCCATGAGGGACTCGGCGAGTCAGCTGTGCATAATGCAGTTTTTCGACATTTTTCAGCTATTTGCATCAAGTATTCAAGAAAACAAGCCTAGTCTCTGATACCATTGTTGGGTTTTGAGCATTCTAACACTCCTAAGGTGTACATGCAACCCTAATAACCTTGGATCTATGTTTTCTCTAAAATACATGCAAATAAGAATTTCCAAGGTTTTCATCCTAACTAGCATAACATGCAAAGTAGAATCATAATATACTAGAAGAATGACATACCTTTTGATAGTGATTGATTGCTTGGAGTTTGAGAGCCTAGCACCAATAGTGTGAATGCCTCAAGTGGAATCACAAATCACCACAAACCTTGGAACCTTGAGAGAATAATATATGTGCTCTAGAAATTAGGTCACCACTCTTGTTCACACACAACTAGTGTCATTTCAAGCATCATAAGCTCATTTATATAGTGTGGAGGATTAGGGTTACATCCATGTAAACCCTAATACCCATGACTCTTCCTTTCCAAGGATCCATGGGTTAAAAGCTCCATGGACTATCCATGGATTCCCATGCATGCCAAGCCCATTCCAAATGAGTATTAGCCCACACTACATAAAATACAAGAGCCCATATTTAATTAGTCACCTTTTTGATCACCAAATTAATTCTAAATTAATTTATGACCAATACTAATTAAATAATATGATTTAATATTAATATATTATAACTTATAATATATTAATAAAGCATGAACATACTATTCTCAAAAGATTATCCAAACAAATTGTTCGGGTGAAGTGCAACCCAAATGGACCATGCCGGGTCGGGTCAAGTACATCTCAAATATTGTTATGGACTTAGACACCTTATCCAACAGGGAACCCCCTACGGTCTTCTATGCAAATGTCATACTAACATAACGCATAATAAATCAACCATCCACATATCATAAAATGGGTCGGCCTTGGTGCCTTAGACCCATTGGTATGGTGAGAAAACTCACATCTCAATAATGATGAAACGATAAGACAGGATCATATAAGTCCCAACATGCAGCTCCAACTCAGCTGCCTATAACCATCATGTGATTGACTTGTCAATATCCCGAAATACCATAAATACCCTCAAGGTCAAACTTGGTCAAAGTCCAAGTCAACAGTCAAGGTCAACAGTCCATGTTGACCCCAACTCGTCGAGTGCATCTAGCAACTCGTCGAGTTCCTTCAGAGTCCAGCACACCGGGACAAACCCTAGCCAACTCGCTGAGTTGTCTCATCAAGTCGACGAGCTCACTCAATATCCAGTAGACGGGGAACCCCGATCCAACTCGTCAAGTTTCCAGGGCAACTCGTCGAGTTTTCCCTATGTTTACTTATTCGGATGATACGTTGATTACAGGGACTCTAGGGCTTTATATCTGTAACCTAAAGGTGTCTAGAAGGATAAAGTTTCCAACTTTATCCTCTAGAACCACTCCGAATGCTCTAAAGCTCTTAACAAAGGTTGGAAAGCTCAAAAGCTTATCCATGTGGTTCAAAACTCTAGGTATATGGAATCCCGTCTTTCCAGAAGAGGTTCTAGTCCTCAAAACGTTCCAAAGATGGAGACTTTATGGACATGCATGTCCAATACATGTCTTGAAGTCAAAATGGCCAAAGGGGGAAATAAACCCTAAAATCCATGCATGGCATCCATGCCTGACCAAAAGCTAGATCTAGCCCACCATGGGACCATTTTGCCCAGGAGATTCATAAAGTTGCAAACTTTATGAACCCCATGCATGCAATCAACAAGAATGATAGGAAATGAAGAGTAAACTCAAGATCTAGTCATACTCTAAGATAAAAATCGAGTCTTGAGTGCTTACAATAGTCCACAAGAGGGTCAAGCTCAAAAGTGAGGGCTTTGTTTGCTGGATCTTCTCCTTCTTCTCACTATCTCCTTCTTCTCACTATCTCCTTCTTCTCACTATCTTCTTCTTCTTAAGCTCCAAAATCACTCTAGCTCACAATATGAGAGAAAATGGAGATTATGGTTTAGCACTGACGTTCTTAGGGTTTAGAGGCTGATGGAAGGTTAGTCTCAAGGTGTTAAAGAGATTATATAGGGCACAAACCCTAAAATTTAGGGTTTTCCTTTACAGCGCCTACTCGTCGAGGTGGGCCTTCCAACTCGTCGAGTAGGTCTTAAATCCCGTGTTCCACAATTGATCTCTACTCGACGAGTTGGAGCTCCCGAACTCGTCGAGTTCCAGTCTAAAACCCTAAAATTCTGAAAAGAAATTGATACCTGAAACGAGCGTTACAGTAGAAGGTATAGCAGATTTACTTGAAGCAGGATATTCCATTGCTGAAATTAAAAGCATGGGGAGGTTGGAAATCGAACTTGATGACATTTCACCAGTTGAGATGGTAATTTATTAACATTGTAATTTAAATTATATTTTTTCCCTTTATATAGGTTTGTTATTGCTTGCATCAGGACTTAAATGAGGATGAGCCTGATGTTGATGAAGGTGAAGTTGACTTTGTAAATGATGTTCTAAATGATGAAGGTGAAGGTGTTGAAAATCAATATGATGGTGATGTGATTTAAGGTGAAGGTGAAGGTGTTAATGATGGGAATGAGGATGCTAATGATGTTCTAAATAATGAGGTTGCTGATGATGGGAATAAGGTTGTTGATGATGGGAATGAGGCTGATGATGAAGGCCATATGATAATGCCTAAGACAAGGAAAAGAAAGCCATCAGAGAGGATCACTAAACTGAAGCTTAAAAAGGCAGTTTTTGATAAAGATGGGGGTGGTTCCACATGTTCAAATCCACTGAATTTGGAGTAGTTAGGTATGTATATGGGGGATTTAGGTGGGGATGGTATACTTGGGCATTTGCATAGGAAGCCTTTTTGGTACATTTTGTACATCTTAGTTTATACACCCACTAAGTGCACCTTTCATCCAGTTGTTCTCTTGTACCTTTTGGGTTGCCTTTTTGGGATATATTTTAGGCAATTTGGTACAAATGGATGGATGATACATCTTAGTTGTTCTTTTGTGATCTTTTGTAATGGTACATGAATATGATGTAATGAATCCCCCCATTATGGTTATAATATGTTTGTTATGGATCAATATGTTTGTTATGTTTATATTATGTTTTTATAATCCATACCATTTGCATCTATAGTATGTACCATTTGTAACTACATTTAGCCAATTTCATCACATTACTTTACCATTTAGCCAATTTCATATATATTATGTACCATATGTTTTCTATGTTTGTTATGTACCATTTCATCATTGTACTTTACCATTTGCATTTCACAAATAATTTGCAACTAAAATCTTCATCCGAAACAACAATTACTAGCCAATTTCAGCATTGTACTTCCATTTGCATCTATATTATGTACCATATGTTTGTTATGATTGTTATGTACCATTTCATCATTGTACTTTACCATTTTCATTTCACAAATAATTTGCAACTAAAATCTTCATCCAAAACAGCAGTTACATAAGCATAAGCACTTTTACATAGCTAATCTAAAAGTCGATCCAAACATTCTACCAAAAGTCGATCCAAAATGATTTACATCTTCAAAACAACTATTATCACCATTACAAAAATAAGAACTACAAGCCCTACAATTATTTCTACCAAAGTCTTCAACTGTCCATCCCCCTGTCCCTACCCCTGTTTTGTGTGAGTTGGGTCAATAATGTGGCCATCCTCTTCATTGTACCATTTGAAAAAACCACAGTCTTCTCCTTCCACCTAGAAAAAACAATAATTGGTATAAATTACATACATTTTTTCAGGGTTTCTTAAGAAATTAAAAACTTAGGGCAAATTGTTTACCTGGTAATTATGGCACCCATAATACATTTTTCCATAGTTCTCAGGTGTTCGAGCAATAGATACCTTACACACATCTCCACAACCACATCTAATTATTATTTTCTTTCTCGATGTTCGACCACCTTGGAAGCTTAATTTGGCAGACGAAGTCGACATTTTATAGAGACATAGGGTAGAAGACGAGGGAAATACTTTGGATTGATGTTAACGGAAGACGATGATGTTTGGGGGTTAAAAAGGGGGATGTAACCGGTTGGTAAAGGGGAACCGGTGAAAAACATTAAAATGAAACATGAGGGGCAATGTAAGGCATCTGTGGCGAAAAAAATCGATTTTGGGCATAACCGGTTTTTTATGTAAATTTAAGGGATTTTATGACAAAAACCATTCACCTTATAGAAGCAAGTAGAGTTCCACACACACACATATAAAAAAAAAGTTACCATTCATGTACATAATTTGTTTAAACAATTTCATTTTAAACAAATACATACATCTATATAATTTCTTCAAAGAATAAATATATATTACATATAAATAAAATATTTTTATAAATAAATATGTGATTTTTCCATATAATCATATTTTAATACTTAATACGTCATTTACATTTAAAACAATATCTTTAGATATAAAAAATATCATTTATTTAAATTATATATATATATATATAGATATATATATATTATATATATATATATCTATAATATATAATATATATCTATATCTATATAAAATGAAGGTTTTTTGTCACTTGTCACAATCTCATTAATTTGCCAAATGTCATTTTGTGGTTATTTTGAATTAATTTTTTTCCACATGTCATTTTATGAGTTTTTCTATTTTATTAAATTCCACATAATATTTTAATGTAATAATTGTAATAAATGTAATAATAAATAGATATCAATTTCATTAATGAACTTACCATTTAATTTCAAAATTCGCAAAATTAAAGATCATTAGTTTCTTTTATTTTTTTAAATTATTTGTTTAAATTTAAAAGATAAAAACATTTACATTATAATAATTCATTAGTTTTCTTATTTTCTTATCAATTCGAAGTTCTCAAATATTTTGACATTTATATTTAACTTTTTTTTTAAATTAACCCATGTAATACATGGATCTCACAACTCGTATATATATATATATACACACACACACCTTAAGAAGCATTTAGCTTCAAATGCTAAATTTTAATAGGTATAACTCTTAAAACATTATATACATCAACTTCATGCATTATAAGAAAAAAAATTGAAAAATTCAAATCCTTTTATTGCCCCTATTATTATAAAGGTCTTCTTGTTTTGACGACCTGGCTCATTCCTTTATCTTGGTATTTCCCCAATATCTTACGCGGTTTTTGTTTAGTGTTCATATAAACTTAAAGAGACATTCACATAGAAGTTCCCTCACTCCCTCATCACATTGATCTCCATAAACCCTAACCATCGGCCTTTACCACTAGTGATTACATCCTCTTTAAAAAACCCACCCTTTTGCCTCCTGCTACGTCGCGCTGCTCCGCTACAACCACAACCACTGTTCACCACCCACATATGAACGTTACCCCCGTGCCCTTACACCCGTTATCGACCATCACCAGTTTCGTCTCCCTCTCTAAAATCGTCCACCATTGCTTCTGATTCTATCTGTCGAAAACTAATATACCCATCGGAATCGCTGTTGTCACTCAACATTCTCTCTTAAAACCCTAGAAGTCAGGTGACCACCATCATCAAGGTATGTTGGTATGCTAATGAGTTCATAGTTTTTTAGTGTCGCGATTATTTCTGAATAAGAAAGGTTATAAAAATAATATTAAGGAATTATATTTCACTATTCATTCTAGAAATGTCATGAGTTGTGTCTGATTCATGTTTTGATTTTAATTATTGGTTACGGGCGTGTTCGGCAAAAATAGCTGGTAGCGGGTAGCTTGTAGCGGGTCGCTTCTAGCTGGTAGCATTTTGTTAAACGCTACGTGAAGTAGCATTTGGATTTGGAGCGTTTTGTTTAAAGTAAACGCTAGAAGCCCGTTGTGCCAAACGAGACTTTCTGTTTAAAACGGAGCGTTTTGTCAAACGGTAGAAGCTAGAAGCTCTCAAACGCTCCGTGCCGAACACGCCCTACAACTATCAGACTTTTACTGGTTCACAGGATCAAAATTTGATATTTTTACAACAACCTGGTCTTTTTTTTCAAGTTACTGCCATCGAATTCACATACTACGGTTCATACGTTTTTAAAATTTTTGGTAGGTTAAAACAGTATCTTTTCATTCCTTGACTCTCTTTTTTACTCTACCGATTACAGGTCTTCCACAAGCAGTCGATTCCTCAAGATGATGAGGAAGACAAAGAACCAGATTGAATGTGGCTTCTTAACTCTATCATCATCTCTATTTCTTGGTTTGATATAATCTAGGTAAATGTTCTCTCTCTCTCTCTCTCTCTCTCTCTCTCCCCCCCCCCCCCCCCGATTCCTCTATTTTTATTGTTCAGAGAATTGCAATGGGAGGTTCACGGAGTGGTCTTGGTAGGGAGGCTATAATGGGTTAGATTTTCAGTTGTGGAGGATAGTGGTTGGTGGTGATTAAGATTGTGATGATGGCGGTATAAGGTGGTTTTGGTGGTGGGTATGATGGCAACAACCATGGAACCACCACTCTTCCGGAAAAAGCCATAATTCCCAGTTCAGAGAAGAAATAAATTAGGTATGTGTTTCCTTTTTCTTTTCCTCTCTTTAGTATACATAAAAATTAGGTGTGTATATATAGGATCTATTTAATGTGTGTGTTTGTGTTTAACAACTAAATTTCAAAAAGAAGGAACTGAAAGCTTAATTTTGTGGCTTGGCTTTGGAGGAAAACAAATTTTTCTACAATGTTATAGTTAGTATGTATGTATGGCAGGGGGCAGGGGGATCTATGTGAGAGATCTAATCTCTTGGGGGGAGGGGGGATGATTAAGTACCATATACAACTATATTGATCAGAATTGTAAAAGTGTTACTTCATCTGCCAAGTCACATTTTTACTAATTACTTCTCAAAAAATTCATTTGGGAAGTTCCTTTTTTGATCTGTCTGATTTAAAATCTGTTGTCAATGTAGCTACATGTCTAATTTTTGTTTTTATTGTGATATATAACAGTTGGACATATCTTTCTTGATCTTCCAGGTGTTGCAATTTTCACTCCTAATACTCTCTTCATTTTGTTCTCGGCGGATATTTAATAGCAGGTTTAATTTTTCTTATTATTTATTTATTTATTATTTTCTATTCACAAATGTCCTAATATTCGATAGGCAAGAACAATCTCAACTGATTGTCCGCGACCAACCATTTTTTTAATAATCAATCAAACTTTTCATGCAATTCAGATCAATCTATAATATTAGGTGGAAGCCTAAACCTGATCTTTTAAAATGTCATCTTTGTAAGTATTTTGATTTTTGATGCTTCCAGGAACTAGAAATACGTGCAAGCACAATATGGTATTAAATCTCTTTATATTTCCTATGCCTTTCTGGATTCAGTTTAAAAAATTCATAGTCTTTGGAAACAGGCATGTTAATATTACCTAATGATAATTTAGTCGAAAAACTTAACAAATGTTGTGTTTAAATTACATATGCATGGAATGAAGACGAAGGGGGAAAGTACAAGACAAATTCAAAACCAACCAGATTTCATTATTAGGTAAGCAATTCTATTTTTCTGCTTTCTGTAGAATCATGTTTGCAATACAGTGACGTACATTTTTGGTACTTGAGTTTAGTTATATTTTCGGTTTTGGTCCCTAAAGGAATCGAGTTATAATTAAGCCCTTTTTTTGGAGTTTTCAATGATTTTGGTCCATATTCCATAAGAAATGACCATGTTGCCCTTTAATTGATTTTTTATAAATAATTCTTATCGTATAATGTTTAACTCATAATAAATTCAATTGCAGAATTTGAAACTTCG